CACACACACACACACAAACATTGTCTATATCTTTGTTTAATCTCCCGGAGGTTCACTCTCACCTCAGACCAGGTCTTCATACTCTGGTTATGATTATGTGAACTTTTTTGGTCCCCCAAAAAAGGAGGCAGGTTCCCACAATGTGACTGTGTAAAACTGGTTTTTGTACCCACAACATGATTAGCACGCACACACTTACACACACACACACACTGTTATTCCTTCTCCATCCTCATTTGCTCTGCTGTTCTTCCCTCCAACAGCTGCAGGACTCTCAGCATCTCCTGCACAGCTGACCCGGATCTACTGACAGCAATGAAAAGAGCTGTTGTTGTCCACTGGTGACTCCTCCCCACCCGCTCCCTCTTTTGTATCCCTACACAAACAGACATACACACACAAGCACACGTGCACAACATCACTTTACAGCAGCAGGAATCACAAGCACAGACTTGTGGTGTCATCCTAATCCCCATTTATGGCGTTTTACTTTGTTGAACCCTCAGATTAAAGGTGGATGAAAGGCTCGTAGCTGCATCTTAGCTTTTGCCTAAAAATCTTTGAACTGTTCCCAAAGTTCCCTTGTTTTGAGCTGCTTTTCCACAGGTCTGTCATTTTTGTTGTTTGACCTAGATCCATTATGCAATTGTGATTTGTACTGTCATGTCCCACATTTTGCAGCAGGAGAGGAAGGCGGGTGCAGTCAACAAATCGTTTCCTGTCAGTTTTCTCTCTCGCTCTCTCTCTTTTTCTTTTTTTTTCTGCAGCAAGGCTTCAGTTACAAAGAAGCCCACAAGCTGTATTTTGTTCTGCTCACATCAAAACACACAGTGGATCCATCTCGTCTGTCTGTCACACACCCACTGATCTTATTTTATTTATTTAATTTCTTTAAAAGACTTACAGGAAGGCTGTGAAATGAAGCCTTCCTGATTTCTTTTCCTTTTTTGTAGCAGCAGAGCTCCCTGAGTTGTTTCATCTAAGTGTTTCTTGGTATAATTATGGCTCGCTGGTGCTTTTTGTCATTCATTTGCGTTGAATACTTTATAACGTAATGGCTTGTCTGCGTGCTACAGACCCAACTGGCATTCTTTCAGGCCATTTGAGTTCAGTCAGTTTGTGCAGCAGCAGCAGCACCAGCACCAGCAGGGGCAGGGGCACTTCAGGTTGGAAAGGATCCCACCCTGAGCTCTTTAAGGGACAAAAACAAAGCCAGCCGCATCAAAACAAAACAAATCAAAATGAGAGCAAGTAAAGGGATGCAGACATGAGGGAAATGAGGGCAGGGACTTCACAGAAAGGGAGTGGGTGAAAGGCGTAAAAAGGAGGACACAGACAGAAGGGAACAGCGGCAGGAGAGAGATGGATGGAGAGGATAAAGGAGGGCGAGAGTGAGAGGAGACAATAACGGGGGCTGCAGAACGAGGGCACAGACGGTCAGAGAGGGACGGTAAGCTCAGCTGTGGCTGCTGCCGAAGTCAGACTGGTTCACCTGATGACACATCTGTCGGTCTGACTCACCCAGACTCTGTAATCTCTCTCTTAGAGACCTGCAGGAAGCAGCAGACAACACACTGGGAAAACACAACACACACCGCAGATGGATTACATGATGTTTCAGGCCAGTTTTCAGGCCTATATTAAACAGCAGATATCCATTTGTGTTGTCGTGAAGGAAAAACAATAAAATAGGTTTTTGTTTGTGATTTGAACTCTTTTAACTCAAAGCTGAAATGCTCAAATTCAGTCAAAGGTCAAACAGATAAGTCGATTATCTGAAGATCAGAGATTCCTGAGTGAATTCTCTAACAAAATAACTCTCCTTATCCTTATCTCCAGGCTGCAATGATTCAAAACTTTAAACAGGAGGTTAAATAACAGCAATAAAATAAGGAGTTTCTCACACTGAGGCTTTTCTGAAAGCTCTTAAGTGCACCTCTAACCACATTTCATGCAACAGAAAGGAAGCACAAAAATGTGGCATCCTGTTTAAATAACAGTCAGACAAGGTGACTCTGGAAGAACAACCTGCAGATTGGAAAGAGCTAAGAAATTACATAAAAACACAGACTTATAAAATATGCAGGGGCTCTGATTAAAGCAAATATATTAAGAAAATGTTCAAATTAGCCCCGCTTTGACCAATTATGTAATTAATATGGTGGATACACCTTTCAGCAGGAGTAGCAATAATGGATGCAGTATTTTTCTTCTGCATTTAATAATTAGAAAACACTTTAAATTAAGTGTTTTACATTTGTGTGTGTGTGTGTGTGTGTGTGTGTGTGTGTGTGTGTGTGTTTTACATTGCATGCCACACTGATGCAAATCGTGTTTCAATGACTTCCCTGTCACAATGGGGCAGAAATTGAGTTTGAACATTCACAATCAGAAATACTTTATTAATCCCGAAGGAAATTACATCACATTTGAAACTTCATCGAATGGAAAATATACGTTGTTTTAGCCTTCAAAGGTATGTGTGTGTGCCTCACAGAGCCTCAAAATTCTGTGTCCACACATATGTAAAGGAGTTCAAGGCTTCCTGCTTCTGTTTGAATGAATAAAAAGGCTTTTACAGCCTTTATACAGACTAACCATACTGTGGATCCATGTGGTGATGCTGCCATCTAGTGGGTAAAAATGGTTGTGCAACGCTGTAGCACGAAAGCTGGTTTACTTTTCCACTTCAACCCTTTAAAGCCAAGAGTGTCATTGTTGATGAGTTTTTGAGGGTTTTTGAGACTTCTTCATCATTAGTTATTTGTCTTCTTAAGCTGATGACAGTTACAGGATTTATAATGTGATCACGAAACAATAAAATAAAAAAGTTCAACATGTAGATGGTAAAATCTGAATATCTTATATAGCTTTCATGTAAACCAGTCAGACTGTATATAAATAATACTCATGTATATATAGTCCTATACAGGTTTCATTTGTATAACAACAACACAACTGTTACCTCAGGGTGTTTTTAGGTAAAGGCCCTAAAATGTTAGAGAGAAAGACCCCAACAATCGAACGACCTCCTGTGGGAACACTTGGCGAAGGTGGGAAAGAAGAACCCCTTTTAAACAGAAAGACTCAGGCTCAGGCAAAAGAGAGGAGAAAAAGGCCAAAGCACAAGCCAAGGGAGAGAGATGACATTTAATGACATGCAATAGAGGGGAGATAAAGGTCTGAACCTGAAGTTTTAGGAAAGGAAAAGGTTCATGGCAATATCAAAACTAGAGAAGGTGTCTGTCTCCTGAACTCAAACTGGGAACCGGTTCCACAGGTTCTTTGAACTTTGACCTTTAAGCTGCACGGAGGGGGTTTCATGACTGAACTGAGAGGATGAATTTTGGAGGAGCCCGCTGAGCAAAAGAGAAATAAAAATGGAGAGCCAGGTGCTGGTGGGCGTGGCCTGCTAGCCTGCTGACAAGCTAACAGACCAACAACAAATATTCGGAAAACTTTCATCTCTCAAGTGAAATAAAATAAAAATGCTGGAAGAAGTCGAAGACCTGCTCTCTAAAGATTTCAACCACCTGTTCAGCGGGATGAAGAGAGGACAGTGAAACGCACAGGTGAAACATCTTTGAGTGTTTGCTGGTGTTTACAGCAGTTGGAGTCAGTCACTATTTGTGTGTTCACCATTTTTATTATCAGCATGTTGTTTCTGCTGCGCTGAAACCAGTTTGTGTTTGACTTATATTGAATATTAAGCATGATTTTAAGTGACCCGATGGGTGTGCTAAACATAGCCAGTCTTTATTAGCCTTAACTCGAGAAAACTTAAAACCAATTTGGAGATGATGGGCATCAACTTTCTCTCATAAACATTTCGTGTCGGAAAGTAATTATCGGTTTAAACTGTTGTTACTTGTTGACCTACAGTGTAATATGTCAAATATGTGTCTTATGAATTATATCAAGACATTTTGAACCAAAAATATTTTGAATCTGTCATAAAGGATTGGATTAAACGGGTCATGTGACTCTTCTGCGCGTAAAGGATCGCGAAAGTGCTGCTGCTCCAATCAGCGGCGTTATCAGATGATGCTAAAAACGTGATTATAAATGTGTACAGGAGACACAAATACAGCAGTAACATCCATCATTGTTGCAGATAAAGCGGTAAAATAAACATTTGAATTCATGTGAATTATTTTATTGTTGAATTTCCAGTCGGTGCTGTTAATTTCTAAGGTGATGGCTGCACGTAAAAATCAAATGTCACTGTCCCACAGCCTAACGACTTACCTTTGCTCACTTTGTGCTGAGTATATTTCATTTCCTGTGATCTTTGTGTAACGAGAGCACTGCACAAGCGGCTTTAAATCCTGCAGGGAGCTGAAATGTTTTTGCTTCTGCGGTTGTTTCAAATATTCTTTCCCAGTAGAGGGCAGTAGATCCATGTGCATGGATGATGATTATTCCCTTGCACGCCAGCCTTAACTTCTCAGTGTATTGTTTGTGATTTTAAATCACTGACTGCCAGTTTAGTCTGGACCTAACCTGTTTAGGCAGAATACAACAGTAGTGACGCTCCATCAGTGTGACTGTTGCAAATGAAGTGTGGGCTGGCTTTTACTGACTGCGCTGCCTTTTTCAACACTGGCGGAGCTGCTTCATGCATTGCTGTTGGGATCCCGGAGCAAAAAGAGGTTTCAGGGTTTTACAGAGGGTAGATCCATCCATCCATCCGTTTTCTGTTTATGCAGGTTGCATAGGGTAGCAATTAAGGAAGAGATGCCTGGAATTTCAGCCATCTACTCCAGCTCTTCTGAGGGGATAGAGAGGCCTCCCCGATCCAGCTGAAAGACAAAATTTCTCCAGTGTGTCCCGAGTCTGCTCTGAGGTCTGCTCACAGTTTGACGTGTCCAAAACACCTCACAGGTGACCAGGGGAATCCCTGATCAGATGCCGAAACCATCTCAAATGGCTCAGTTTGATGTTGAGGAGCTACTTCATGAATCATGGTGGAGGGGCTCTGTGAGCATGTGATCCCAGTGTAGTTGGGCAGCCCCTGGTCCTGGATGTGGAGTCATACTAACACCCGCAAGGAAGATAATAACTAGGAACACCAAACTTGTCAAGATCAGAGATACTAGGTCTCCATGTTGGAGCGAAGCCCGAGGCGGGGCTGGAGGCCTTGGCTGTTTCATATCCGCCTGTCCAAACAAATGCACTACAGTAAAAAACAAACACATTTATTTCAGTCATCTATCATTGTTGTGTAGTTTTTTCTTCCAGCCTGTCATGTACATTGTTTAATAATTTCCTGATAAATGAACCAGTATCAGATAAAGAGACGAAAGCCGAAACAATTAGTGAATTTATCACTGGATTAAGAAGACAGTCAAGCTGTGAAGTTTTTTTTTATAGAGAAATACTTTACATTCTGTGACTTCATGCTTGTCGCTGTGATTATTTGCTCTTTTTCTTAGCAGCCTCTGATATTAAACTGAAGTATTTCGTTGCCTGTGAATAGTAGCTGAATATTTCAGTGTATTTGGTCCAACTTAGGACTTAACTGGAGTTAACTTAGGTCTTGACTAGCAGCTGTTCTTCATCATAAGTGTGACCTTGTGATTCTGCTTGATATTTTCTACCAGCCTGAGGACTTTACCGTGGCAGACAGAGGAAACAGGAGGCCCATGTGGCAAGCGACTTGGCCGGCTCGAGGGGCCTGCACTGTTGCCACAGAGAGAAAATTGGGGGGCAAACAGACAACTTTGGTCTCACACCTTGAACGTCCAGAGACAAAGAGCGATTCAGTTCTTAACAGTCCATCCCAAAAAAATTACAGACTCAAACCGTTTATGACTTTTATTTTCTCTAGTTGGACCAAAAACACTCTTTTAGTCATCTTGGCTTGATTTGAAATAAACAGTAAGAGATTTGGAGCTTTTAGAAACGCTGTAAAAGAAAAGGAAATGCTGAATTTATAACACAGGACAAAGTGAGGGCTTCATAAGGAAAGTTACTGCAAATAAGTCATAGTTTTATTTCTTTAATGTTGTTTTTAGACTCACTGAAGGCCAAAATCCTGCCTGAAATTGAGATTTGATTAATTGCCCAGCTTCAGCCTGCTACAATGTTATTTAAAAAAACAAACAAACTGGAAATGAACTCAAAGAAGTAAAAAATGGTTAAATGAACAGATGTTATGACAGAAATCCATTTTACCTGTTCATTTTCCTCACCCGCTCATGTCCAATAATATTTGCAGGTTAAATAATTCATTGTATACAATGAATTCTATAAACAAGGTTAAATCTTTGCTTCCATCCTCTTCTTGTACATATGCTGATCTGCTGTTGTGTCTGATCCACCACCACACAAATAATAATTATAGTGACCGGGCAGTAGTGCATCAATCAAGTCAAACGTATTGACTGCTACACACTTAATATTTGCCACATCTCTCATTATCAAGCATTTTGCACAGTGATCTGCTTTTTGCAGCTTGAGGTGACTGTGTTTGTGTGCACAGTCATTGTTCCATCCATCAGATATCACCACTTCTATTATTGAAGGTGCTCTACAAGAGATGAGACCACAGATCCATTATTTCAAGGCATCAGGATCAAAACTGCCTAAATCATTAATTAATTTGTTAAATAAATAAAGACAGAGGAAATAAAACCAGACATATCAATTGATGGTATATTTTATTAGTGCCCAAGTTATTATTTTCTTTAAGTAGGATGTTCAGTGGTTTTTCTGACTTTCGTTTTCTCTTACAAAGTACTTCTAAAGAAACAAAACAGCTCAGGCAGCTTAACATTTTTGTGCTACATGTTCCTGTACGCTGTTTAATCACAGCTAAAGTTTCTACACATCCTCTCTGCTGGCGTCCTGTATGTTTGTGTGTCTGTCTGCCTGTCTGTCTGTCTTTGACCATGAGGCCTTTGGGGTCAAACTTGTTAACCTCTCCATTGAAGATCGCATCATCAGCGGGGATTTTGGTGCAGTTCACTACACCTCCAGGGGCACAAACAGACACCCTGATCCCACAGGCAGAACGTAGCTTTCATCGCCGAGCAAACATTTCTTCGGTCAGCGGATCAGGCCTCTCACCCTCATCCCCCATTAGCTCGACGTGTTTCACTCCATTACTCGTTTTTAATGCTGTAGATACAGAGCGAGGGGATGCAGTAGAGCTGACGGCAGCGTGGAAAATAGATTTGTCTTGTGAAAGACGAGATCCACATGCTCGCAAACTCATCAGCGGCTTTGAAAGAGACATTCACGGTGGCGCCTTGAGCGTGAAAATTAGCTGTTTATTTGGGGTGTGATGGGATTTATGGGACCTGAAAGTGAAGTCTTTAAGCTCCCTTTTGGGGATTTTGGGACAACTTGTTTGTTGTTGTAGAGCAGCCTGTGGTGTTAACCCACGACCCCGCTGCCCTCTGACCCCCAGCACAACAGCTCTATCCACGCGTCAGGGAGAAGGGCTTTCACAGCGGAAACATCCAGAACACGGGCAAGTCTCGCAGGGAGGGAGGTCAATTAGAGTCAGGATCAAAAACACCGCACAAGAGGACAGCTAATAATCTGACTGCAGGAAATATGCGAATAGATGCCACAAGCAGTTTGGAGGTTTCTGTGGAGCAAGTGAGTGGATTAAACGACTGATTAAAATGGGAGGCAGAGCCTTTCCTTCGGAACCGGCTCCCAGTTTGGATTTGAGAAACGGACACCCTCTCTGCTTCTACGATTGGACTCAAACGTTTATGGAAAAGTAAAGCTTAAAGTTAGGGCTAGTTCAGGTGACTCCATACCACCCCGTCATTAAGCTGCTACAGGCTCTGACCGAGTCTTCTTTTCACTCCCCACATATTTATACACCTCTGCAGCACGTCAGTAAACTTTAGTCTTTGCTTTAGTCTATATTTTGTCATGACATCCCAGCTCTCTTTTTTTTCCCCTCTCTCTTTCCAATCACCAAACGACCTGTCACAGCAGATGGCCGCCCCCCTCCCCCCTCCCCGAGCCTGGTTCTGCCAGAAGTTTCTTCCTGTTAAAAGGGAGTTTTTCCTTCCCACCATCACAAAGTGCTTGCTCACAGGGCGTCGTTTTCATCATTGGTACTGAAGCACCTTGATGTGGCTGTTGTGATTTGGTGCTATTTAAATAAACCTCAGCTGAATTCAATTCAAGTGGCTCATTTATGATCCTAGCTGTATATTTATATGCACCACTGTGATATGTCTAGTTATAAAACTATTTTCTAGTTTGAAATTGTTAACCTGTTGCAGGGAGAAGGTTCCTGGTTTGAAGTTATATGTTGTCTCTGTGCCTGTGAGTACAGAGCTTCTGGGTACTGTAGTTTTTTTCTTCAGCCAGAAGATGTGCTCGTTAGATTAATTTAGAATTTGGCCACAGGTGTGAATGGCTGCCTGTTTTTTTTAGGTATCAATTTTATTAGTCATAAGTAACCACACTAAAAAACGCTTTAGCTGCTAAAATAGCTTGATCACATGGGCTTAGCTTGTTGGATTATCAGACTTACACATCAACAAAATATTAATGTTTTATTAAATGTAAAAGGCCTTTGCCTATGACTGGTGCTTAGTGACTGGTACCCTCACTATGACCACAAGCTGTGGATAGTGAGAGGAAAAAATGAAATATTTGATGCACGCAGCCAAAATGAGTTTCTTCCGTAAAGCATTTGGGCTCATTGTTAGCGACTGGGTGAGCAGCTCAGACTCAGAGTAGAGCTGCTCCTCTTTCTTAGGTTCAGATGTTTGATCAGGATGCCTCTCGATGAGATTTCAGGCATGTCTTTCTGGGAGGAGTCCCCAGGGTCGACCCAGGAAATGCAGGAGAGGTTACATCCCTCAGCTGGCTTGGGAACTCGTCGGTGCCCACTACTGGAAGAGCAAGAGAAAGTAGCTGGGGAAATGGAAGTGGATGGATGTTTTCTACTTTTAATATCCATTTATATTTTATTTTAAGAGTTTAGAAGACGCGTATACACATTTTTACAATTAATTAATTGTTTCTGCCTTTGTGGAATAGCTTTGACTTAGGAGGTAGAGTGTGTTTCTCACTAACTGAGAGGCCAATTTTACACTTTGCATACGTTGATTAGTGAGTGTGATAAAGTGATTAATTAATATGGCTCCCTGTGTAAAAGCTTTAAGTGGTCAATAAGATCAGGGAAATGTTAAATAATCACCAATCAATTTGATCTGTGCTGCCTTCTGAATTATTTGATAAATTTTATCTCCAAAAATATTCATTCCTGCATGAAGTAATCAATCAAGTTTTAGTTGATTTTGCAGTTGGTTCCAGGAGGAAGGAGCTACAAATCTGAGTGCTCGTTTTCCAAATTCAGTGTGAGCTTTTTGGGGACAGGCAGAAGGAATCGTCACATTTAACTGGCTAGCGTTTGGTGTTCCTCACTGGTAAATGATTAATAGAAAATAACATTATTATGAGACCAATGATAGGCGATCGTATATAAAAGTGTGAATAAAACAAATCATTCACGTTGCTGTATTGGGTAACACGTCAAAGGAGTGGAAAGTGGAAAATTCCCAGCGATGTATCCTCCAGTCGCAGGTTATATGCGGTCTAAGTGGAAACATTTCAGCTTGCACTGATGTTGCATGTGACATTTTTTTTTGTCTTGATTTAAAAACATGATTATCTATCAACTCTTTTACAGTAAGATCATATCCCCGTTTTCGAAGCAGTGTTAAATATATTCGGGTGGGTCAGGTGTAAAATCATGCACATTTAATGTTCTCATTTGTTGCATTTAAAACGTGGTTTTAATTCAAGACATTTCACCCACATGTGATGCAGGCCTAAAGCTTTTTTCCTTTTTTTCTCCACACAGTCAATGCACTGTATACAGTACATTGTTTTCCACCGTGGAAAGAATTTTAGCTCCAGCTAATGAAAGCCAAACTTAAATGGGACATTGAAGCGATCTGGTCAGTGTTCCTGCTCTTTATCTTCTCTGAAACTCTGCATCTATCAGACGGTGACACCGCACTGAATTTTATCACTGTTTTTGTTGTAAGCTGCCTTCCAGTGAGGTTACAAGGTGCATATTTCGATCTGTTTTTTCAGGTGACAAGTTTTCCATCCACCTCGGTTGCTTGACTGGACGCCTGCGTACCCCAGCCGAATAACTGCTGAGGGAGGGTTTTGTTCCTGTCTGTGAATCCTTCAGGCCGTCGTCGGGGAATGTGGAGGTGGGTGACCGCAAACATCCGTGTGCCAGCACCGTGCCACACATGCATCCAACGGGGTCGCATTATCTTCAAAGCCTGTCGCCTTCAACATGTGATACGACTCAGAGCTCAAAATAAAAAATGGAAAAAAGAAGAAATGGCAGACATCTTGCATTCCTGAGCTCATTCCACAAAGTACAATAACTTCCTTGAATTCTTCGACCCCCGGCGGCGGAGCCAGGGCACATCCTGTTGTCCTTGCAGCACTTCCTGCTCATGCAGCTCAATCAGGCTCCTTTGTTGCCATGGCCACTGGAAAACAGTGTAGTCATGCTTAATAGGCACCCAAACACGTAACGCTCAGATAATTATGGAGCAAAGATCTGGCAGATATTTATTTTTTATTTTTTCAAACCTCTAACATCCAGTTTTCAAGCTTTACTGCTATTAGAATAACTTTATTCGAGAGTCTTACTGCATATCATTTAATTTCTGGACTGGCTTGTTGCTTCTCTTCATTCATTCCTTGTGATGTTAAAACTGAGAAAGACTTTATATGAGTCATTAAGACTTTATGCTTTTATGTCTGCACCCTTCTATCAAATACAAATGTTGTTTTTGTGCATTATTTTGTACCCATCTTCTCCAACATATCTGAGTTACAGCGATGTATCTTTGGCCAGGCACCATCTGTGTTAAGGAGAATAAATGGTCCAGTCCCCACTGTGTGCAATATTGTTAAGATTTTAAATACTCAGTGTAAATATATTCATTCGTTTGTAAAAAGTTTTCACAGGACTTCTTGCTGTCGCTTGAAAAGCAAATTCTTACTGCTTCCATAGGAATTAAGAGTGTAAGTAGCAGTTGCTGCTAGTCAGATGCACTTGATTAATTGATCGTCAGCAAGTATGAACACCTTAGTAAAAACAGACATTTTGGCAGTTTGCTAGGAAGCATTCAGGTGTTAACAGAGCGTTAAGGAGGAAAGACATCAGTAATGATCTTAGAGAAGCAACGGTTGTTGCGTAGCAGTCTGGGAAGGGTTATAAAGTCAACCAATTTAAAGTCTATCATTCTATTGTGAGAAAGATTATTAGGTAGAAAACATTCAAGGCAATTCTCAGTCTGAGTGGAAATCCCAGAGAGTTCATCCCAAGGTCAGACAGTGCGATTCTTAGCAGAATTTTAAAAAACCCAAGCGCTACATCTCAGACTCTACAGGCCTCAGCTAGCATGTTAAATGTTGAAGTTCATGAGAGTAAAATTAGAAAAAGACTGAACAAGTGCGGCTTGTTTGTTAGAGGTGCCAGGAGACAAAGCTTCTTCAGTCTAGGTTTGAACAGTTGCTTCTGAAAAAAACCACAAGACAGATTTCAATTTTTCTCTGTTATATTATGTTTAATTGCTGACAACAGGCGAAGTACAAGGTTTGATACTACAGTAGTGCATTTGTAGTCTGAGTTCATTGTGGTACAGCGGGCTATGGCTGCATATTTAGTTTCTTCAGCAGGAACATTGGACAATACATGTATTGTGCCAGGTGTAGCAAAAAGATCATTTTTTAAATCATGTATTAGACACTGGCTGTATTTTAAAGGATTGTGCAGACAGAATAGTTGATAGTAACTGAGGTAAAACTGTGTTTATTTGTTTTAAATCAATTCTGCCTATCATAAGATCATTCGATTTTTGTTCATTAGAGTGTGTTTGGGTGCAGATGATGAATTATTTGTGAGTGAATGACGTGCCCCTTTCAATTTTGCAAATATATAAAGTACTTAGGATAAAGTTAGGTAAAGGTGGCTTTGCATGTGTGTGGTTGTGTGAGTAAAAACACTAAAGTAGGTCTGGATGAATTGGGTCTTTCACTCGTGGAAAGACCCAAACGGCTTTAATCAGCAAATCAGTGCTCACTTTCCTAGACCGTGCATTCGCTTCACTCTGTTTACTGTTTCGTTTGTGGGTGAACACTGCATCAGAGTTGCTCTCTTTCATAACTACTCTCTCGCTTGCCAGCACAATGTTCATTTGTCAGCTTCCAGCATGGCAGCTCCAGCCAAACTTTCATCCTGCTTAGTCAAACAGAGAAAGGAGCAAAGTGAGCAGGCTCTCCTGGGATCATGCTAACCCTGGAGGGATGCATTCAATTCTGCTTCCTGCACTGCTGTGTCTTTCCAAGAGTTTACAAGCCGGAGGAAACAAGGCTGGCAACGGACCCATTTTAAAGAGATGTTTAGCAGGTCAAAGTGTTTCTTCACTTTGCCGTCTTTGATTTCTTTATGTAAGGTTTATTTTTCCTTCAGCGATTAGATGATGTTTGCCTGTGAAAACAGAGCAGGGATGTTACAAACCCTCATACCCTGATTTGATGGGGATGAGCAGTCGTTTGGTATGGACAAAGATAGCAGACAGTAGTGGCGTCCATGACATCATGTGTCAGGAATGTGATACCACCTCAACTCTGCTCTGGCAGGGTTGACCCGTATGACTGCAGGCTGCACGCCACCCCTGTTTTGGACAAAGATGGGAAAACCTCAGAATTTATTTTTTCGTTCCCCTAATTTTTCTTGAATTATGTGGTTAATAATAAAATTTTGTCATGATGTTGCCGACAGAACCGTTTATTACATTTTAAAATGCATTAATTAGAGCTTAAAATGGCAATGAGGGTATTCGTGACTGTATACATTTTTCTTCTCTTATGATTCACCCCATATCTTTTCACGCGGAGGAGTTTTCACACCGTTTGGGCGAGGCGTATCAGATGGCATACCGGACGCTTTTGTCTCAGCCAGGGCATAGTTATCCGCGGATATTCTTGAGATTGGGTTGTTATCTGACGAACCCCTACACGACCAATGGCAAAACATACAAAAACATAATTGTAACGCGGTATTAGGAATGTGAATACGTTTTACGTTTGTTCCATGTGACGTTTTTGGGGTTTGTGCTAGCAGATGATTGTGTAAACGTCCTTTTTCAGCCCGTCATCATGATGCATCGGTGTCAAATTTTCAGCTCGTTTCATTTGCAGTTATGGAGGTAGACAATCATCGGTTATAATCTCTTATCTTAGATGGTGATGAAGTATCTTCCAATTTTTTTTTTCACTGTGATAATGTATGTTTTTCAGACTATAGGATAAGAAAGCTATCATTTTTCTGTTAATCATGCTGTTTATTATCAACACTATGTGCTTTCTATAAATATTATTTACATATGTCATAACTTCACCCACCATGACTTCAGTGCTGTACATTACATGTCTAATGTAACTCCTTTGTCTGTTTATTCTTCATTTTTGCCAAGACGCCACCTTGTTTCTTTGTTTTTATTGATGATGTCATAAGTGTTGGATGGATGTGACTGAGAAACCAAGAGAAGAACAGTGCACACCCATGCTGCCAACTGTTATTAACAGTGTAGCCATGTTTTAAACCACATCCTGGGGGTCTCCAAATTCATAGGCCGCATCTTGATGCATTCTCAATCATCCAGGTAAGTAAATCTCCAAAAGTTTATTCTGTTCAACGTAGCGTTTTGTGGGAGAAACGTTTCGTCAGTCATCCAGGCGACTTCTTCAGTCTCAGTTGACTGCAGGTTAGGCCACATCCTCCTGAGGCTGCATTTGTAGGCCAGTTACGTCACAGCGACACGAAGAAGGCTGTCCAAATTCGTACACTCCTCCAAATGCAGCCGACAAATGATTCCTTCTTTTCCCTGAATTTGAAGGATGGGTTGGGTGTATCCTTCGCGGCCCAACATGTTCCAAAATTCATAGCGCGGCCCAGCCAATTCCAGTTTCCAAAAATGGCAGCAGCTGCTAAGTGTTAATATTACTCTTATTACTCTTTCTGGGTCACAAAATAAACTTTTAAGATTTTTTCAGGCGAGAATGTAGCTGTGTAAACTTCAAATATCTGCTCGGTTTATCAAGACGGCACATATTTGTAAAAGTGCTCCGACGTTTTCGGAGACGTCTGTTACCCAACAGCTCGATAGCTAACTGGGGCGAGAACAGCGGACTTGCATTGTTTTCAAACCCCTTGCGGTCTTTCGCTACTCAGGTTAAACATGATATATAAGTCACTTAACTTAAAAATGTTATTGTTTGGCTTTTTTCTGTGTTTTATTTGTTCTGAGTAAATCGGTTTGGTTTAGATTACAGCTAATTAAACGGAAAACTGATGAAACAGAAGTGTGAGTTGGTCGAGAATTTACGGTAGTGTCCTGTTATATTTTACATAGCAGGGAGCAGACAGCTGAGGTTATTAAACTCCACCGAGACAGCTGTTGATGCAAAACTGAAGGCTAGACTGTCCAATTTCACAGCCGCTCACTTCCGGCCTACCCGGTTTTCGGAGGATCCCGCCCTACGTGGGCGGGATCCTCCGCCCACGTAGGGCGGAGGATCACGTCTTCGCGGTCTACGTGACCGCGAAGACTGGGTCCTCAGGAGGATGCGGCCTATGAGTTTTGAAAAGTGCATCACAAACTGTAAACATCGACTGTCTTGAGAGTATTAAGAGAATTATGTTCCAGCAATTGGATACAACTTTTACTTAAAAGGTGGAAAATTCTTCATATCTGGTTTGTGCAGCACTTTTTCCCGTGTTTCTGCAAGCAGGAGAGTAAACAGTGAGTGTTTGCTCTATAAACAACCACAAGCCACACAGTCGCCCCCTGCTGGCCATTAGGAAGACTGCAGACTTATGTCTTCACTTCATAGTCTGTTTTAATTGTAAGTTTTCTGCTCTTTTTATGTAGTAGTTCTAAATGCATTTTACTGAAATGGTGTGTGAAAAAAAATATAAAGTAAAATTTATAATAACGCCAAATAATAATGCACCGGAATTAATGTAGATGTATCACAGACAGTTTAACAGATAGAAGTTGCCTCAGTGGCATCACCAACTCACTCTGCAGTTGTTGCCTCTGTGTTAGCGCTTTGGCTCCCACATGTTAGTTGTTCTGATGCCAGAAGTGAGAGCTAAGTTATCAGCAAGCTGTAATAAAAGATTTTCAATTACTAAAATGGGAGAATAAACTACTTGGATGGTCTGTACCAGGAAAAAAACAGGTTTTTGTTTGTTTTGTTTTTGTTTTTTTGCCCACTTTCTTGTTTCAGATCATGGAGCCATTGACACAATTGTGCTCTGGGACATCATTGCCTTTAGAGGCCTTCTTCTGGCTGATCAAAGACTTGAGGATTTGGTGCGGCTGTGTGCGTGTGAATCACCTCAGTAAATACTTTTCATCACACTTGATATCTTAAGAGATTTTAAAGAAGCCTTTTGGACTTATAAGTGAAAGGCTACTTTAGTTACATTAGAAGAATCATTACCTTTAAATGGCTTTAAAGCACTTGAGGCAACCAGCTGGAACACACCGGCCTATTTGCAGTTTTTGTGTCTCGACATTAGACCTGTTGAAACAGATTAAATGTCTGAATGTTTTCGATGTCACAGTGATTTTCCTGTTTAATATGCTCCACTCTGAGCTGAACTGAGCAACACCATTTATTGGCTCTAACGCGATCAGTGAAATCCTCTCTAAGCCTCTCCCCCTCAGCTCTGCACGCTCATCACACTTCACTCAAATATGTTATGATCTTCTAACTGCTTTCCCCAGCAGGGCAGCACGTAAAGAATGCTGCTTAATGTCGCCGGCTGTCAGTCTGACTTTAGACGAGCCGCTCGGTAACACACGAATATGTTAACCCTGTG